GAGAGGGAAACGTGAGACTACACCCGCTGAGCCTACCACATTGCTGTAGTCGACTCTGCCTTTGAAATGCAACAGTCCTGCCTGGTGACATGGAAATAGATATCAGCGCATCCACCATTAACTTCAGGAAAACAAGGTTGCCAAAATGGACTCATCATGGAGGTGTAAAAAAAAACTTACTTTGCAACTGTTTAAAACTTTCCTAGACTTTTTTCTTCCAGCGAATGCGTAAACTGGGGCCTTGTGTTTGAAATAGAAGTATTGCTGTGTACGACGAAATAAACGCTTTGTAACACACGGTTCGACTGACGTATTTCTATATGAAGAAGGCAGAGAGGAAGCAGCGCAGTCTGTTTGTATTTGGGATGAATATGAATGTAATCTCTCGATTTTCATCGATGTCGAAGGGTCGTAGTCAGACTTAGAAGTTAAGGTCAGAGTTCTGGTCCATTTTTGCGTTCACCGCACATTATGACCCTGATTGTTGAGTTTTGGCCCAAAGTCTTACAGTAGAGGTCATTCGGTCATGGCTCAAACGGTAAATGATCAGCATTGCACTTCGGAGGTGTCAGGTCATCAGAGGTGCCAAATCCCATGCCTGCACAAGAGTTGAGCAACTTGGTGAAAACCATTCATATCAGGATATGGTTTATTGCATAAGGAAAATTAATAAAGGATCGAATTTGGATAAGGCATTTTACAGCCAGAGATCCGTCCGTCAATATTTAAACCTGTTACCAGATCATGGCGACGGACATTTGCACAGAGGAGCAATGAGGAGGTGGATGCTGTTGTCGAAAAGCCTTTCTGACGAATTTTAACTTTTCTGATTACGATATCCGTTACCGGTTTTGACAGTGGCTCCAAGAGCATAACTGCAACTCCGGAAATGAGGAGCAGCGCCCGACGCATCGGTTAAAAGTGGGCTTCGCTCACTGCTTGGAAGACGGGTGGACTTGCATGAGTGATCATAGGTTTGATGTATGTATCGACAAATCTCCACATATCCTTTGTTGGTGGGTCGGCGTGTATCCGACGATGCACTTGTCGAGACGCTGTCGTGATCTTCCTGCAAACTGTCATAATATAAGGTGATCATTTGAAGTTCGAGGAAAGTACGATGCCTAAGTATTTGACCTCACTCATTGCCGACAGAATTACCCCCCTCCACCGCCTCTACATGTAATTCTTCTCCTGCATCTGACGGAATGTCATGTTTGGATAAAATCGGCTTTTTGTTGATTTAAAATCGCTCAAAATGAGGTCACGGTCACACGCCTAATGTTTCGCGTTACGAAACACGCCTTCACGCGATTCCATGTCTTGCATGACTATAACTGGCTCTACGATGGTCAGGTCATCAGAATAATTCATGCTGATCATCGGGCATTCGGTAGACTAGGATGGCGCGCCTACCGAACAGTGGCAAGTCGTATGAAAATATAAGTAACATAAAAGTTAACTACGTCACATCGCAAAATCATGGTAAGGGAGATAGGCATCATTGCGCTTGCAAAATTCTCCTTTCTTCGGTTTTTTCTTTACTTTCTTATGTTGTTTTTTGGTCTGTTTATTTACGTCCGTGCTGACTATGAATTTTCTTTTAGATTGCATTTAAAACGAGGAATAACCTTCAACTTCGAACATTCCGAAACATCCCCTAACTGCCGGGTGTACACAGAACGACTGCTCCACATTGGGTTGAATTACTGCTTAGCACATAGCTATACAAATCTAAGCTTTTCAACATAATTTTGAGGAAAGTTCATCGTGATTGATTGATCAGCATGCCGAGGATGAAACGGTGGATTTTCTGCAAAGTCCTCAACGGGTTTGCAGTGTTTGTATCGATTTCTGATCGTGAGCCAGTTCGTAGCACGACACTTCTGGATAGCAAGACATTCAGTGCAGACTGGCGTCATGTAGGATTTCTCCATCAAGTTGTGACGTATGCTTGGTCACAGAATCGATCACCTGTGCTGCCAAAGCTTCGAGGCGTATTCCACTGACCTGCAAGGTAAAACACATCGTCCGACGCGCCAATTTAAGTCAACCTCGCTAATTGTTGGAAAGACGACTGGACGTGTTTAAATGACCATAGGCAAGAAGTAGCGGCAAGATTTTTTGCGTGAATACACTTGGTACATTGGCGTTTATCATGCGATGCACACAATAGCATATTTTGTTGATCTTGTTGAAAATAGCCGCTATGGAATCTGACGATTTTAATTTACGAAAAGCACGACGTCCAGGTGTTTGACCTCACCCCCTATCGGCAGAGGTTCACCCTCCCCCCCGACACTTGAGTTCTTGTCCCGTGTCCATTGAGGCGCCAGGAATCGCCCTCATGTATGTTGCATTTATAACGGGAGCGGACATGAGTGCAAAGCTGGAACATAGATGAACGGAGCACGGCGAAAGCCAACCGGTTGTTTCGTATTGCGGCCATTAGTAGACTGGCAGATGACGCCTGCCGGACGTCGTGTGGGTCCCTCCGTCCGACACGTCGAAATGGCCGTTGTTGGAACCGCAGGACCGTCGTCCGTTGCCGTTCTACGGCGGCTGAGAATTGCACAGAATCGTGGTTTTTGCGTACTACGACGTGGTCGTCGTCGCGCCCGGCTCTGTCACTGCCACCAGGAGGGAGGGTGTGGCCTCGCGAAGCGGTTTTCGACCGACAAAGCGCTTGAAGGGAAAACAAATTAACGACGATTGAGACCGGCTGTCAGCGACCACCTCCGACACCATTAATGGCTTAATTAGCAAGCGAGGCAGAACGGCATGTGTGTCATTTCCGTGTGTTTGTCTCTGCGGTTGTCGACTGTCGTCGAACAAGAAACGCGATGGATCACACCGGCTTTACTCGTCTACCGGTCTTCGTCTGACGCATGCCTACGCCGTGGTCGTCAAGTGGTCCCCGTCGCCATCTCTGCTTACGTGTTCTGTTCAAAAGGGCTTTTCGTCTCAGTGTTCACAAGTAACCTGTTTGCTACGTTCCGAAGCTTTCGTAGGGTTCGCGATTTTCTTGACCTACGAAACAAGAGCTGACGAGCATCGCCGTTTCGGTAAATTTGCTCGTCGACCTTAAATGCCATTTCCAGTAATCGATGGCCCGACGTTCGGTTTGCAACAGTTCCTGTCACATG